ATAATTTCAACTTAATTTTTCGAAAGGTGGCAATTCTTTTCGAAAAAGTAAAACCACATTGCGCATCTTCAGCCCGCGCCCTTTAATTTGGCACCTCACTTTTAATAATCGAACGAAGGGTGCAGGTCTGATGGCATTGATTATTAAATAATTTGAGCTTAATTGTTCAACAGGTGGCAACCCTATTCGAAAAACAAAACCAGTTTGCACATCTACAGACTAAGCGCTTTAATTTGACATCTCATTTTTGAAAATCGGGCGAACGGTACAGATCTTTTATCCTGGACAAAAAACACCTTCGGGTATTATATATATAGATATAGATTGACATTATGAATAATGCATAGAATGGGGAAATTTAAAAGAACAGAGTTTATCAAAAATATGGTTTTTACAAATTTTTTTGAATTTTAAATTTAAGAATATATTTAAACCACGCAGCTCTCAATCTTATAGATGAACAAACCATCTTTTATTTTATATTGCTATTGGTAGATGCCTTTTTTCTGTTATCAAATGGTTTATCTGTTTACTGTTTTGCGCCGTCAAACTTGAGTCTTATTCCTCTACTCACCTATATTTATCCTGCACTTTTTGTTTAATATCAGCCAAGTTCTCCGACGTTATATCACGTTCCAAGTACTCGGACAATTTCTCTGTTGCCGATTCCAAATCCTTTTGATTATCCTCAAAGATCATTGACTGATTATTCTTCTTCAGATAGTAGGCAAACACGTAAGTGTACATAAGTGTTTGGCGGCACTGGCAGAGTATGTCTACAGCCTTTTTCAAGAATTGCACCTAGCAAAAAACAAAGCCAAAGGTAAGGGAAATATTTTCAGCGATTGTTATTATTAACAATCAATTTAGCTTACTTCGATCCAAGACATATTGTGTTGCTGCATCTCCTCCATTTTATGTTTGACCGCCGCATAGAGTTTATTCTCAAATTTCAACGACTGCATGTGATTCATATAGCGATTGTAGTAGTGCAAGTACCTGAAAAGCAAAAATGCATGAATAAATATTAATTTATATGTTTCCGATATTTTTGTACACTCACCTTGCCAACGAGGAGCGCAACTTCTCTTGCGCATCACGCGCCGCTTTTGCCTCATCCTCATCATACCGATTGCAATTGTACCATGACGAACCGTGTGGTTCCCACGACCCCAAGCACACCCAACAGAAATCGTGTTTGCAGTTTTGATTCTTGCACACCATGTGATTGCAGCCGCCATCCTTTTCAATTGTCACATTACATTTAGGACACTCTTTGGTGTTGGCCGCAATCCAATTGGATGTCTCCGAATCATCATCGCACTTCTTAATCCACTTTTTCAGCCAACAACACTTGACCGGATCATGCCAATTCTCGCCGCATGCAAAGCAAAAGACGTGCCCACATTTGCAACTCACCGGACGGGAATCGCCATACGACACTTTAATTGCATACGTACAGTCGACGGACGGACACCAACGCAACAGCTGATT